CTAACCAGTCTTCATAGGATCACAGCTGAAGTGACTAATGCGTTACATTTTAGATATTTCTAAGCGCATGTCTTTATGCTGTCATACTTCCCAAGGACCGCAGCTGGGCAACATCACATGAAACAGTCTCCGTTTACAATTTCCTGACTTAAATGGTTTATTCATGTTCTGTGTCACATTATAATGCATTTTTGGTTCAGTTCTAACTGGTCCTGTAATTATATATACAGTAAAAGCACAAAACACGTTACCAAGCGTATCTATGGGTGATGTTTATGATGATTTCCTAGACCTCAAACTTGTGGATGCTTCTCCCCATTAACATTTATATAGTTAACATAACATTCCGGATAACTGAATCATTTATTGTACACATCCACCACCCAATTCTGTATCCTTGTGAGCCCTGCAGGGAGATCATGACACTGCTGTTTCTCATCCCACCAATCCCCATTACGGCAGACTGTGGTGACGTAAGCGAGGCATAGCAGAGAAAGCTTTGGGGGAGGCAGTGGGTCGCTTTTCACAGTGATTGGATAAAAAAATTGGCTATTTCCCAATTGTTGCTCTTAGTGGAGCCAATAATTATTAAAAGTACATGAGTGTCATAGGGACAGCAAGTCTTAAGTATAGCACAAGGATATAGAATATTTATGTAGCTACTCTAAGTGTTCTCAGTGCATAGAGCAATGACAAGATCTCCTGAGACAGATAACACAGATGTTCTTGTAACAAATGAATATTCCCTGTAGACAAGCATATTGTTATGCTGCACAAAGACAGTCAAGGAGCCAAATGTATTGTTTTTCTTTAAGTGAAAATGTATTTCCCCTACTTTGTGCTATATAGTGCAATGCTTTTATTTTTAACCCATTATATAGACACGATGTAAATGATAACATAACAACACAAACATATACATACTGTACATTAGGCACACCATCCGCTTTTAAAAGATGGCACATGCTGATGTACCAAAAGACTGTGTATAGCAGAGGTTTACATACAGTATATAACAATAGTGGGTATAGGAGGAAGTCTATAGGGGCAGGGTATTTGGAAAGGAGACATAGAAATGATTTTGCTATTTTGCACATCATTTGTAAAATTTTCAATCAGGTTTCTGATTTGGCGTGGTAAGACATAAGCAAGATTGCTAATAATGATCTAGGAATGTGCATTCTCATTGATTTACACCAGTAGTCTTTATTATAGCAGGATTACAGGACCAGGATGAGCTGTCTAGAGATGAAAACATTAGGCTAGAGCCCCACCCTACAGAGCTGAATTGAAAAATTGCTGATTGATGTAGCCCTTTATTTCTATTTTTAATTCTAAGTTATGTTCTGTAGTTAGTAAGGGGCCAACGGAGTGGATATTTTTATGACAAAGTAGTGATTTTCCTTCTGAGATGAAGCAAATGACAGTGATCAACAGCTGCTTCTAGACATGTTTATCTCACACCAAGTCTATTGTAGCTATGGATGTACGTTAAGCTCACCATACATTTTAGAATCTGTACAATCTTTGGAAAATCAACTATAAAATGTACCAAATTATGTAATATGAGGACCTACATAAAATACCAAGTCAACCTGTATCCAATCTTTGCACTACATAGTTGTTGGTAGATCTAAAGGAGGTTATACAGTCAGATTGTAACATGTGTGGTAAGCTTTAGTCAGATCTAGTTTCCAGTACATGTGAATATGTACATTTCAATATACACTCCTGCAGGCATGTATTCTCCCATGCATGTAACATGTGCTCACGTATTTGCATACACATGTAGATACCAACGATTTCTCACAAGTTATTGCACATATAGTATAAATAGGGAAAAACAGCCACTTCAATCGGGGAAATAACCCAGAGAAAGTAGCTAGGTTTGTTTGAGTCGCCCCTACTTGGAAATATTACCGCACAAACATATAGATACAATTACAACATTTTATTAATACATTTCATTAAAACCATAGACTACGAAAAGCAAATAGAACCAGAACACAAACCCTTGTGACTGGTCCACTGGTCCCATATCAATCAGCACCTCCACAGAGGCTAAGAGATAGACTAATATCTATATAAGACTTATACCTGTTTAGAGACCCTCATGGGCATTTACCCAGAAATGGTCTGGGAGGTATTTTTTTCAACATTTCAGCCATTTCATTCTGGTCTACTTCACTTTGACATAGATCTTCAGCAAGTGGTCATATTTCCACTCACTGTAGCGTTGGTGAATTCTATATTACGCTGGGAATTGTTTAGGAATGACAAAGTGGCATAATAATGGGTAACTTGACCCACCAATTTAATGTAATCCAAAACTTTCAAGGCATGCCAACTGTCAAGGTTACCAGTGTGCTTTCTCTCAACCGAACCGAAGTCCTCAGATAGCTGGTGTGATAGTTGATCACATGTGCAGGACCATGTCAATTGCAATCCATACAGATTCTAAGATGGCACCTTCCTTGGCTGTAAAAGTTATGAGCGCGTACTTCCGCTTTAATATTATAATTTCCAGGTTCCTTTAAACTGGTCATAGATAGCAGAGAGAAGCTGGAAGTGTGGGCATAGTCTGTCTGCCTTCAGGTATCTGTATTGGCCAGCACTTCCCTGAATATTTGTGTTTTAGGCCTGTGAGCTGCACATACCTCCAGCATCAGCTTAGCAGGGGGAAACGGTATGTGATTTAACAGGTTTTTCTAACCTTCCCAATTGTTATACCACCCAGGCAGTGGTGTCAACGACATAGGTGAAAGCCACAAATAACAAACTGGGCGACCACCATCTAATGTGTATAGACACCTTTGGAATCAATTCCCTCTGTCCCTCTGTTTAGTCTAATGTATCCAACTCTATAAAAATGTAATATTTAAAGTGACACTAAACTCAGGAGTTAAATCTTAAAAATGCATTTGAGTACCCTAACTATTAACAAAAATGTAGCTTATTTGTGCATCACTTGGCTGTAGATTCTCAAATCATCTCTTGTTCGGTGCGTGCAGTGTCCTTCCTTCTGGGGGTGGGTTCTCATAGATCCTGTGTGTGTGTTTTAAAGTAGCCACTGCTCCAAGCTCGCTCCTGTAATTAATTATAATCTCAATACAAATTAGTAAACTAAGTGCGAGATTGTAGTCCATCATGGGAGTGAGCTTGGAGCAGTGGCTACTTTAAAACACACACACAGGATCTATGAGAACCCACCCCCAGAAGGAAGGACACTGCACGCACCGAACAAGAGATGATTTGAGAATCTACAGCCAAGTGATGCACAAATAAGCTACATTTTTGTTAATAGGGTACTTGGATGCATTTTTAAGATGTAACTCCTGAGTTTAGTGTCACTTTAACTATCAAAAGTGTTATACGACACTATACCTTTCATCCAACCACTAAATGATTGCATTTGTTATTTCTGAAAAGCCAGCATAAAGGAAAAGAAGTGGTGAAAGGAGGCGAGTCTAAACAATCATTGTGTTTTTATTTTTGGTCCACATAACATGGGGCGTGGTAGGGGTATATCCTTACCATCTCAAAAGTTGGAAGGTATGCCTTTACATCAATGGGACATCTATAGCAACGGCTACAAATGGATAGTAAATATTATGATATTCATAACCTTTGTGTATATAGTATGACTATTTGATTGTGATAGAGAGATTGTGCTACACCCTCACTGATGAACTCCAATAGAAACGTATGGTAAAAGTACCTCTATGGCTCCCATACTCTCAGTTTTAGACCCCAGTACAAGAAGCCAATGGTATCACTCTGTTTCATGTACTTTGAATGAATGGACTCTACACTGATACCCACAGTCAACTGCCACTTGTCATACAATATGCTGAAAATGGAAGTAATATTCAGTATATTGACCATGTTTGTGGGCATTTTGATTAGAGAGGAGTATAACAGAAGAAATACTTCTCTGGTACACTCCAGTATAAGAACACAGAAAAAATCATACATAAAGTTCAATTTACAAAACCAATACACAAGTATGAGGAGTCTTCTATTTAAAAGGTGGCAATCATTTTTAGCTATTTTTAGCTTTCACTATCATGCAATGTTTAGTATTTATTTCCCTGCATTTTCCTAAATATATTTCAAATCCATGCTTACTTATTTATTGTTACTTGTGTTTATAGGTCATAGATACAACATCATTCAAATGGATATTGTGATACAGGGCAGATTATGATTTGTGTTTACAGTTTGTTTTTCTGCCTTTATACTTTTGAATTACCTGTTGTGTGCAATAGAAATTGTATTATGCTATGCTCTCTGTCTACAGCTACTGATCACATCTGCCAGAAAAGGGTGGAATAACATTTGAAATCATTATACACAACACTCTGCTCCATTCAGATATGTTATGACAGCGCCAAAGGAACCTGTACCATCTTCCGTCCAAAAACGATATTTGCTGACATAAATCTTAATAGTCTACCCAAAGCATTGTAAAATAAAACACACACTGTAACAAATAAATCAGCGCTCTTCTCTGGAAACAAAAAGCTAGTAAAAAAACCCATTACAGTCACTCTCCCACCCTGCATGAACAGATGTAAAAATCTGTCTACGGCTCATGCACAGTAGCTGGGAAGCAGAGATAAAAATACTACAACATTAGCAGACAAGGGAGACTGAGGCAGTGTTTATATGAAAACATGCCTGGGACACCATGCATGACTATATTCAGCCACAGAGCTCTACAAGCACATCTCAGAGCTGGCTGAGAATTAAAAGAAAAAGGATTTTTTTCTGCATGGGGAAAAGGATCATCCTACATAAAATGCATCGATTGGGGTTCTAGCCCTTTTGCAAAGATACATGCCTATTTTTTTTTTACGCACCTGCAGAAGAATTTGGAAGGAAATGGATTGCTAAACTGATCTCTCTAGCAGGTAAAGGCTAGGAAAGCAAATAACAAAATAATTTTATTGTGGAAGAAGTGTGCCTGTGCAGTGACTGAAAGAGAATCCTGCTCTTACCTCCTGATTCTCTCTGTTCTGCTATAGACGCCTCCTCTCCCCGCCTGGCCTGTAGAATGAAATGCTGCTTTAAAGACTGTAGGGCTATTATCTTGTGTTTATTCCTGTATCCATAGAGACATCCTGTAAAACATCAAGGGAGTGTAATATAAATATAAGTGACCAAGGTCATTGAGAGAGGCGTAAGAGATGTATTCTTCTTGCTTGCAGCAGACAAGATTTCACTTGGTGGAGATGCAAGGCTCTAGATGGGGTGCTGTGGGAGAGGGGTGTGTCAGGAGAAGACAAAGGCTGCTCATTAGGGACCAGGATGTGCTGGCTAGCTGTACCAGGACTGGGCTACAATGTCTCCCAGATTCTGCTGCAGCTCCATGCCTTCCTGCAAACCTTATACAAATATTATATGTTATTCACTTTGGCATAGATCTGCAGAAGATGATAATTATATATTTAAAACAAATATTTATTGCTGACAAAGATATAAATAAGAATATGCAGAATATAAGTGAAAATGCTAATATTTCTGTATAGCTGTTTATATGTGAATTTTAGTGCAACTTTTTTGGGGGTATTTGACACATCAGCAGATATTAAAAAAATAATATAGTCAGTTTGGCATACATCTGCATAAGATGAAGGTGACATATAACAAAAGTCCTTATTACTGACATAATGTATGAATCAGAATATGCAGAATATAATTTTCTTTACTGTTTCTGTACAGATTTTAGTGCAATTTTAGTGCAATAATGCATCATTGCATTTGTTAAATGTAAGGCGATTTTATTTCTTTCTTTCATTCTTTTTTTTTTCTTTTTTTCTTTGACACATCAGCAAATGTTATACAACTATTATATTTCTGTTATTCACAGATCTGCAGAAGATGATGGTGGTATACAGTATATAAGAAAATCCTTATTGATTGCTGACAATAGATATGAATCAGAATTTTTCTATATAGCTGTACATATCTGAATTTTAGTGAAATAATGTATCATTGCATTTGATAAATGTAAGACTTACTTTATTTTTATTATATTTGACACGTCAGCAAAAAATGACTTAAAAAAAAAGTGATCAACCACTCTATGATGATACATAGAAGGGCATTAAAATGATATGTCAGTGCATAATAAAAACATACATATATTTATTACATCCCCCTTTTCTCCCTGGGGACTCAAAGTGCTTAGGAGGTGAGGCAGCCATCTTGGGCATGCTCAGTTGAGCCAATTAACCTACCAGCATGTCTTTGGAATTTAGTCTCTATATAAAAAACATATTTGTTGCATATACATACCTGTATATTCTGCCCGAAATCTAGAATGCCCCTAACTTTCTGTGCTCTGAGTCTGTGTTGTGCTGAAATCCCGAGCAGTGTTTTCTGCTCTGCCCAGTTCTCCTCGGGGGAATACAGAACATCTCACCCCGTATGTTGTGAAGATGGGTAGGGATGAGTGAATCTGCCTGGGTCTAATTTGCTGAGGGATCAGTGAATCCTGTTAAAAATTCACCAAACCCTAGCTTAGTTGGTGAATTCCATTAAAGTCTATGGGAGACAAATCTTGTTAGCAAGTTCTGGCCATTTAAGGTAATGGGCAAACTACTGCCATATAAAGACATGGGGAGCCCAGCACTGCAGTGGGGGGCATGAATATCAAAAACTGATCAATCCCTATATGGAGACATACTGCTTTTAAAGGTTGTTACAATGCATAATAAAAAAAAATATTACATCTCTCCAATACATGCAGATTCCTCCATGTTTTGTCTCTATTAATGCTGCAAGTAGAGAAAACATATCTGTAGATCCTGCCAGGAATTTAGAGTGTGCCTAACTTCCTGTGGTCTGTAGCTGTGCTGCACTGAAGTCCCAAGCAGTGTTATCTGCCTTGCCCAGTTCTCTTATGTGTACTACAGAACATCTCCCCCCCTATGTCATGACAATGAGTGGGATGGGCGAATCTTTCTGGGTTTGATTTGCAAAATCTTATTAGTAAGTTCTGGAGCAAGGGTAATAGGCGGAACTACTGTGAAAAAAGGCATGGATAACTGGGCACCGCCATGGGGGACACGTACCAATGCAAAAAATATGCAAAAATGAAAATATTGTACCGCAGGGATAGACTCTTTGTATGTGGCTTGAAGGGCAACATTACAAATTCATCAATTGTTTGAATAAATGCTTGGGGATGGCTTAACCTTTTTGCTGCCGTAGTCTTTTTTGCACACATGTTAAAATGAACATTTTATGTCTGAAATATTACCCAAATATTCAGCAAAAATGCATTCAAAGAAATGGCCTTTGCAGGTCATAAATAACAATGAATTATTACTTTCACTCCTACGTGTGAGGCGATACCCAACATGTATGACGCATTCATCTTTTCATACTTGGGAGCACTCGACGCATGCATTTACATTGGTGTCTATGTATACGTGGGGGCTTGATACGTTTTTTGTTTTTTTTCATTTATTATATATAATTGTCATTTTTTTTACTTTTTTTATTACAGAAATATAAAATCTAAATATTGCAGGAGACAATTCCCCTTTAAGGAGACTATTTGTCTTCTATAAAAAGCCCTATTGTCATGTTTTCAGCCCATTAAATCTGATCAAGCAAATATCGTGCTTCATCAGCTTTTTCCCCGCCCACAATGGCTGGGTAAGGACACCTCAGATACTTGAAGTGACAAAGTTGTTGTAATTTACAGGTTTATTCACTGGAGAAATATCAACAAACCATGGCTGTCCTGGGCCTACAAAAGAGGCAGCAGAGCCTGGGGTACATGGCAGGGGGGTCGCACCTGTAGGGGGTGTATCCTAAAACCAGTAAACACACTCGTGGCTGCTATAGAAGCCAGGAGTCCGTTTACAGCTTCCTGCTGCCATGGACATAGTACTTACATTCATGGCAGCAAAAGAGTTAAAGCTGTACATGGTGTTATAAAACAGTATGATTTTCATATGCAGCCTCAGTGACAGTATACACTGGCAGCACACATTTGGCTGTGGATTTTTTCTTTTACATTAGCATGGTATACATACAGCAGCAGCAGCACCGCAGTCATTGGAGTTTGAAAAAAGCTTTTTTTTCGGGTAGTTTTAGCAGCGACATGTGCTTTTTCATCCAAAAGTAATAGGTCTGCTTTAACTATCAGAAAGTATCCAGTAGTTTTCTTAGGCTGTCCATGTTCTCATTGATTGCAAAACTGTCCAATTTCTATAAAACTCTCATTAAGAGACTGTGGATGACACAACAGTGCAAAACTGGCCAGCAGCAGGACAATTTTAATGAGCAAAAATAGGCCCACATTTACTAGAGACAAAGAACACATGGAAGGGTTTTACAAAAAGAAAAAAACATATTGCAAAAGATACAGCATGGGAAAACTGGCCAGAAGCAGGACAGTTTTATGCACACATGGCTATTATGTGTGGCTGGGGATTCCTGCAGCAAGAACCTGTGGATTCCCAGGAGTCCCAGGTGGGTCTGTACAGATGCATACAGAATCTGTCTGCATCCAGGGACAATTATCTTTCCTGAACAGCAGGAAATTGTTCCATGTAAGATTGCTTGTGGACAGCCATGGACAGATGCGGACACTGTCAGCCTGTCATTCACTTGAACAGGCACAGTGGCTGCATCTGTTCTCTGCAGCTCTAAGAACACATGGTCAGTAATAACGCTATGGCATGTAGACAGGAAGTGGCTGCCGAGGCTTAGCAGCAATGGGATACAACAAAGTATAAGAAAATGTGAAAACAGTATTTTAATTAAAGACGATGACTTATAATACACAGTGCTTTAGCACGCAATGTCATTCATTTATTAAGTAACAACAAAAAGCGCCAAGGACAATCACTCCTCAGAAGGGTATGATAATGTGCATACTGCAGGATGCTGCCCCACTTCAGTCAGGGCGACTGTAGTATCTGGAAAGAAGCACAAAAAGGGGGGCGCCTTTCCTGGTGCAGATGAGTTTTATTCAAATACAGGTACACTATAGAAAGGGGTATTCACAAGAGTAAGTAGATAAAAGTAATGGGACTGTAAACCAGAATGAGGCAAGTGGAAGTCAGCGAAGCAGTTCCTGTGTGCCAGTGAAGATATGTGCGTTGAGGCGTTTCCGGGGCACGCCCCCTTCGTCAGAACACATGGTCAGTAATAACGCTATGGCATGTAGACAGGAAGTGGCTGCCGAGGCTTAGCAGCAATGGGATACAACAAAGTATAAGAAAATGTGAAAACAGTATTTTAATTAAAGACGATGACTTATAATACACAGTGCTTTAGCACGCAATGTCATTCATTTATTGTTCACATCTACTTTAACATATGGAGCAGAAGGCATCTGCTGATCTATACTGATTACACATACATAATACATTATTTTTCCTTTAATGCATTTTGTGCAGTCACATCAACTGATGGAGAATACATTAATGTAATGAGAGACTCAGCCAATTTATCCTGATTGATGTTTGTACTATATGATCAGTACAGGAAAGGTGTGGACTGCACAGATACTGTGCATAGATATGCGTTTCATCTATTTTCATCTAACTTTCTATCTTTTTCTGCCTATTGCCTACAGAAGGTATATACCTCTAAATGTCGTCAAAGCTAAAATTAGGGATGTTAGACACAACCTTGATCCATTGATCCAATCAGTCCACATTTGCTTAAAACTCCCCAATTACTCTTCTGTTCTGCCCCTTCAAAGGTCCAAAAGTCAGGAATTTCCCACCATAATGAAGACAATTGGGAGATATGGGCTGAGCTCTCCAGTTCAAATGTCTGTTTGTTTGGTAACCAACTCAAGATCTTGGATTCCAGACTGTCTCTGGAGGAAATTGGAAACATGAGAATCTTAGGATTTAGAGGTTGTAAGAAAAACTGTCCATACTGTCCATAACAACAGTCAACTTTCTACGTTTTATTTAGTATGAAAATAATAAAATAAGAGTGAACATCTGGATGATTATTATGAACATCAGCTTCAATCTTGTATGTTCTGGGTCTGTTCCAGGACTTCTTCTAATTTGTATGCACCAGGAAAGCTCCATTAGGAGTATGTGATGGGGTGTCTGTGTCCACTTCAACTGGTTCCCCTGTGTTAATTCATCTATGACGATTATACTATTTGTGTCTTATACTGTATTGCACTGCACTGCAACAAAGACTGCATGTCACAAACCCTAAGATATAGATTCTGCTCAGCCAGGACAAATGGATTCTGGCACTTTGGTTTAGGACCTAATGAATGATCCTTATATTGTTGCTGTAAGACAAT